TGTTTGTATTCATATATATATATATATATATATATATTATACGCATAAGGTATACAACTCAGGCTACCCTGGGTGAAAATCCGTCAAGTTTCTAGGGTGGGTATTTTGTAAGGTACCCTATAGGTTATTCTCCTACATTCTTGATTTCTTTCATAGAACATTCCTTTATTCAAAAAGCTACAGTTTAAGTGTTGGATTCTCAGATCTTGGGCGCCTCCTGATTCTCCTAATAAACCTTTATCCATAGGGTATTGTACAGGGTCTATATATATATATATATATACGGTATACAAGGGGTAGAACGTTAAGGGTGGTATTCTATGAAGTATCCCAGATGGCATTCTATAAGGCATACATGGGGTGTGTAGGGGGTTATATACATTCTATAAGGTATTCTAGAAAATGTAGAAACACAAGCCGCAAGAATATCCGTAAATGTGACTATGTTACACATAAAAGACATCCAACAGGCGCGTCCACTAACACATAAGGTTTCCTGCAACTTCTATGCATGTGTTTATATCTGTTTAGTTTGATTATCACTATCATTAGTATCATTATCATGCGCATGTATACGCATGTCTATATCTATATCTATATCTATATCTATATCTATATCTATATCTATATCTATATCTATATCTATGTATGTCATATGTATATATATATATATATATATATAATTGTGTGTGTGGGTGCATGTATGCAAGTTTACACACATATATATATATATGTATGTATGTATGTATGTATGTGTATATATATATATATATATATATATGTATGTATGCATAAGAATACATGCATATATATATATATATATATATATATATATATATATATATGCCTGTATTCTTATGCATATGCACATGCACATATGTACATATGTATATGCATATATATATATATATACACATATATTTACGCGTACATACACATGGATGTTGGTGGGTGCATGCAGTGGTCACGGGACGTGTGCGATGTCAGCTGATATGGCAGGGTGGGCGACGTGAGAAACATGCCTGATGGCGACTCTTTTTGTTTATGCACATGGGGGCATAGCTGCGCCTACTTGTTTCTTCTGCTTGTGGGTGGTCGGAGTGGAGGGGCTGGGGGGGGGGGGGGGGGAGATGGCGTTCTGTGTTTCAGGATACACTATGGGGCTCTTAGGCAGGAAGTAGTGGATTGAAAGTAACATTGGCGAACATACCGAAAGTACCTCGCTTGTCACACGAAACAAGGTTTAACAGAGGATTGAGAAAATACTATCTGAGATGATAGGAGATGTCATGGCATGATGTGACATGACATGATATGACCGGCTGTGAAATATTAAGACATGAAGGAACAAGTGATGATATGATTTGTCATGTGAGACGACGGGTTTCTTCAGTAGATTCTCAATCCTCTGTTTAACCTTGTTTCGTGTGACAAGCGAGGTACTTTCGGTATGTTCGCCAGTGTTACCTTCAATCCACTACTTCCTGCCTAAGAGCCTCACCCTGGGGTAAGCGCGTCTAGAGTGTCCAAAGCTTCAGTTTTAAACATTCCCAGACTGTAGACGCCAGCAAAAGCATGCCTTCAACAAATTCAAGACGAAGCCTGTTTCTTGTGTTAGGTGCCAATGTAAACGTCTGTTCGAAAGGTCCAGATATGCCCCCCATGAGGTTGTTTATGTTGGCACAAGCTCAGTGGGATCAAAGCGGAACAATCTTTGCAGAGACATTGAAGGCAAACCTCGTCATACTCAAACCAAGGGGCGTTCACAGCCTTGAGCCTGGATCTGTGCAGCCAGGATCTTACAACGGATCTATCCAGAAATCAACTGAGCCTGTGTCAGAAGCTAGTCTTGCCAGCATGCAAGGGATCTCCCGCCTTGTCGGACTGTGCAGCCGGAGAGTTCCAGGCAGGCTGTTGCCAAGCGAAGCGTTTTGCCCTGAGGTCTTTTTTCCTTACCCCCGCGTGCTTCCGATTAGCGATGATGTTTGGAAGGCCAGAGGCTGCTAGCGCTGTATCGCCCGAGTCGTTCTCCCAGCGGATTGCGGCCGCTACTGCCACAGCCAGGCATTGAAACTCAGTTTTCAGCCCTTCGCTGGCCTAATCCTTACAGTGCACTGGCCAAGGGCCGTTCACAGCCTGGCGCCTGCATCCGTACAGCCAGGCTCTTAGCAGTGGGAATGCTACGGTGTTCAGGCAGCCTGTTGCCACGAGTCCATGCAGGAGTCGTTCTGGCCTCACGCTGACATTATGTAAACGTCCTCACTTGCTCGTCTACTCCGTGCATCGCTCATGTTCCAAGGCGACAGCCAGAACGCACCACATCGCCTGAGCCGGCCTCCCAGCAAGATGGTGGGATGTGAGTCCGGCATTCATGCGCTCGGAGCCGCTCCTGGTCGCACGGGCATCGAGTCTTTCTGGGGCTGCGAACACCGGCAGCGTCCTCTTTTGGTTGCGCACTTTCGGAAAGCCGGAATCGTGCATCATTTCGTGTTCTCATTTGTTTTCCGGGACATGGATAAGCAACTGAACTTCCATTGTGACTTGCTCGTCAAGGCAGCAAGTACCCCGTTCATAGTACCCTAATCAAACGCCGACAGGACCTTCGACTGCATCACGATATCTTGTCAACATGTTACCGTCACGTTGCGGATCCGGGGTTGGAGCCGAAAGCGCAACAGTTCCACAAATCGTATACAGAAACTGCCATATACCAACAATTGTCGAATTTTTGCGTCGGACGCATTTTTGGCATCCTGTTTCGCGGCCTTTTTGAAGCGGGCACCTTGTTTTGTCGCAGGGGATGGGATGGTCTTGTTCCTCGATCCACGACAGAACGACTGAGTTCAAAACGCATCCGAAGGCACGGTCCACGCATGCTTCGAAAGCAATCTTGGGACGCGCGACGGCAGTAATGACCTGAATGCACGCGGCTGACCCTCCAGACTGTGGACCGATTCGCAGAACGCTAACCAAGCTCGCGCTCAGAGATCTGGTGTGGATGACTGGAACTCCAACAGTCTTCTAATGTTGGCCACCACTGTAAGCTTGTCCGACAAATTCGTAACAAAATGGCATGAACAGAGCTTCGGACCCCACTTGCGCAAGTACCTGCCTGCAGGCGCCTCGTGGTTTGTCGCTACATCATGCCGGTGCATTGAATGAAGTTTGCGTTAGCAGGCCTAGAGACGGGGAAGCTTCCGATTTGTGCCGTCGCAAGGGGACCCTGCGGGACGTAGCACCTTGCTCTTCAGCAACAGATCGTGAGGGGAGTGTAAGACCTTCTGCAACGACGCTGCTGTCGTGAGGGTGCGGGGGGGTGGGGAGAAAGTCCTTCAAAGCCGAGCCTTCCGCACTTGAACGATGGGCTGGGCAGACCAACGCCTTGATCGGGAAGACTCGACCCTGACAAGCCTGCAAACTGGAAAGTCTGCCAGATGATGTGGCGGCTCCGAGTAACAATGCAGGCTTGTAACATGCACTACGACGAAGCAGAAGGTGGATGGGGTGAACCAACGGCCTCACATAGTGCAGAAGCGAGTAGGGGGGGATGGGGGCGGGGGCGCGTGACAATGAAAGCCTCGGAGAGTGATGCAGGACTTTCGGCAATGGCAAAAGAGGGCTCGCATGTGCGGCTGAGACATGTTCATGTTCTTCAGGGCTCCCGGGTCATGAGCCTGGAGTCCTCACATGTGTAGCCCAATGTGCTTTGGACAACCTCTGAAGACAAGATAGCCCAATGATACGCTTCGTTGGAATACCCCAAACTGTTCATTGGTATCTTAAGAGCATCGGCTGTCTTGACAGTTAAGGAAATGAAAAATGTCAGTGGCAGTTTTGTGCCAAAATGCGGCGTGGGCGAGGGCCGCGAGAATCTAGGCTGCGCATTCATGATTTTGCGGTGTGGTAGCTTCGAGACAGAGACAGCCAAAGAATCACAGGTGCATCCAAAGTTTCATGCTACAGCTGAGGCAGAAAGAAGCCGATACCTTCGGTCTACTGCTGCAGCAGTGCAAGTCCAGGCCGGTCTGTGCGACACAATTTAAGCGAAGTGTTGTGGGTGCCGTGATTATCTATGGTGTGACATTCTTTCTGTATCCCGCATACGGCATAAGATTACATCAGATCGGCAGAGGCACCAGGCAGGGCACCTTGGGCAGGCGATTTGCTCTCACGCCTTCGAAAATGGGGTATGGATTTGAAATGCAGCTCTGTTAACCTTAAACGGAAGATTTCTCTGCAATGCCTGTCCCCAGATCCTAACGCCCATGAGTTGTGATACTCGCACCCCTACGCAAGTCGCAAGAGCCTGGAATGCTGTGTGAAATCCACGCACGACTTGAAAGTGTGAAGATAAGCTAAAGTGTACACTGCGTCAAATGTGCAACTGTAATCGGGGAACGCCGCCATCAGCAGGAGCAGCACCGTTTTGCGCCATCACTAGTGGCTATAAAGATATTTCTTATGTGCTTTTGAGACGAAGTATGGATTGTGGAAGATTACCTCTCTCTCTGTCTCTCTCTCTCCTCTCTCTCTGTCTCTCTCTCTCTCTCTCTCTATATATATAGAGAGAGAGAGAGAGAGAGAGAGAGAGAGAGAGAGAGAGAGAGAGAGAGAGAGAGAGAGAGAGAGAGAGAGAGAGATAGAGAGAGAGAGAGAGAGAGAGCCATTTTGGCTCACAGAAGAGGGCCTCTAAACTTCAGAGGGGGCCTTGAGAGAGCGTGTTCCGGTAGAGGGGCTATACGAGCACATCGGGGAGTCTGCTGAACTACGCGTCTTCCCTGTGAACGCCGGGCCGGGGGACTTCTGCAAGTTCGCTCCTGTACGGTGGCTGTGCGCAGAACCTTGAGGACTTTGTGAAACCTCTCCGCCTACATTATCGGCGGCACTACAGGTGGGGGAGCCCGATTACACGATCCGCCGGGAGAACATCGGGAGACACAGAACCACTACGGTGCGCTCGTGATACTACCCGCAGTTCACTGAGAATGGCATCTTCACCTATGCAGATGGATGGGCCCCAGGGGGGGGGAGAGGGGGCTCGACGCGAGGAGGCCCGGGAGAGCTCCCCTTGCAAAAAACAGAAGGCGGAGGAGGCAGGGGGGCTTACCCTTGACATGATTCGGGAGGCCATGCGAGCCGAACTTGGAAGAGAAAGAGCGAACTAGGCCAGACCATAGCCAGTGTCAAGGAGGAAGTGCTCACGTTTGGACAGCGAGTCGATGGAATCGAAGCGGGGGTCACCAAGCAAATGGAGACGACGAACAAGCTCCTGCAGATCGTCACAACGAGCCACGACAAGCACACCGAAGCTGTCGCTCAGCTCAAGACGGAGCAGGAGAGACAAGCCACCTACCTCAGAGAATTCCAGGGGGGGCACACCGAGCTGGAGAACCGCCTTGCCTTGCTCGAGAACAAGATCAAGGGGACGTCGCTGAACGGGGGGAGCACGGCAGACACCGAAGCTCCGAAGAAGCAGGCCCTCATCATGGGGGGGTGGCCGGAGGATCAGTCATCCACAGAGACACTGCAAAAAGCGAGAGACATCCTCCGCCAGCTAGAAGTACCACTAGATTACAGCGAGATGTTTGTCCCTGGTCTCAAACGGGGATATGCGATCATTCCGATCCCACAGAAATGGGGGGAGACGGAAGACCAAAGGCGAGAAGCAGTTCAACAGACCCTACAGAAAGTGCGCAACACCAATATGATGCTGGGGGTGAACCTCGCAGGGGGACACCGCAAACTATGGATGTCGCTGTCACAGTCTCCAGAGCGGCGCAAAAAGTCCCGCCTTGCGGGCAAAGTCAAAAGAGTCATGCTGGAGATGGGGGCGCAAATGGCGAAGCTCGAGGTGGAGTTCTCCACTGGTTCTGTTTGGTACAACACCGAACGCCTGAGCAGTGCAACGCTGGAAGCCCCAAAGCATGCCGAGCGAGCCGGCGTTGGCTGGGTTCGCCTGGACGCCATGGCCCAAGCTCTGGGGAAACCCTTGGGGGAGGTGCAGACGGCATGGCAGCCTCGGAAGGAGGAGCTGCGCTGAGACCTCGCCGACCACGTGGCTGCACAGTTTCACCTCCGAGCAAGGGGCTTCCCTCAAGGGGTTTGTCCCATGGCGGTCCTTGGCATAGCCAGCTGGAACCTGGGGGGGCTCACCGGGGACAAAATCCTGGAGCTCACCCAGAACTTTGCGGGGGACCATGTGCTCAGCAGAATTCAGGTTTTCATGTTGCAAGAAGTCATCACAGAAGTGGAGCTGTTCTTCGCCTCGCGCTACAAATGGACGTTGATCTATGGCAAGAGAGAGGGCGCCTGGAGAGGAGAGGGGATACTGTACCACTCATCCCTGGGCCTACACCACCACAGCAGAGCCCACATGCATGCAGTCAGCACCACCATTAGGAGCCACCACAGCAAGATTAAGATGAAACTCATCGCAGCCCACCTCCCACATCACGCCACCACTGAACAGACAACAGCACTAGCAGCCGAGTGGGGAGAGCACATGCCGCGGAACAAGATCTGGATAGGCATTGATGCCAACGAGACCTTTACGACCACACCAGGGGGGCGCCCAAAGCACACACGGGCCGAGGGGAAGAGCTTCTGCATGCCCTCTCCACCTGGAAGTTGGAGCTGCCACCTCAAAGCATCACCACACCTACCTTCCACCCCTACAACACAGCTATGCAGTCCAGAAGGCTCGACTACCTTTGGCAAAAGGGATACCGTGCCGAAGAAGGGGGAACCCATCCCTGCCGCCACCAGACCGCCTCCGACCACGATGCGGTTTGGTCGATTGTAGCCTTCAACCCGCGCCTGGCGGGGGACTACCAAGCAACCCTATATAGACCAGCACCCGCCAGCAGCAGGCGGAGATCCACTCCACGACTTGCAAGTGATTGCGCAGGCAATCACAACAGTGCCGGGGGGGGGACGGACAGGTTCCACGAGAGCCAACAGCTACGCGCCCAACGCCGTGCAGCCCACAACCTTCCGCCTGGGGGAGCAGCAGCACGAACAGCGTGGAAAAGCATCAGCCGAGCGCGCAAGCAAGAACAGCGAGCATGGCAACACCACACCATCCAGAGGGCGAGCCAAATGGACTGGAGAGCAAAACGAACCCTCGACAATGTCGGGGGACGCTCTGGATGGGAACACCACCTTCTCGACGACATACACTGGCAGCGCAAGCTCACAAGCCATTTCCTTAGCATTTTTCATAAAGCCCCACCGCAAGCCACAGCAAGACACCTTCAAGCCATCCGCACAGCCCTCACCGTAGCCTGCAAGCACCACAGCTGGCGGCCCTTTACAGAAGCAGAACTACTCGATGAAACAACCACCCGGCACAAGGGGAAGTCCACTGGCCCAGACGGCATCTCCCTGGAGGCGCTCCGGGTGCTGATCCAGGACCCGGACTGGAGCACACGCCTCACATACCTCTTAATGACTTCCTCTGCCGGGGGACAGTTCCCCCTCAAGCCCTCCAGGGGGTTACAGTGTTGCTCCCGAAGACCCTGGGGGCACCCACCACGTGGGGGGATACGCGACCACACTTTCTTCGGCGCTCCTTAAATGGTTCGCCCAACTTTTGTTGGGTCGCGGGGGCCACCAATTGCAAGAGGGGGACACCTACCAATGGGCCAGACGCGGCAGACAAAAAGACGGAACTCTTGGTGGTGTTGCGCCGAGTCATGCGCTGGCTCGGGACTGGAAGGTCCCCACATGGATTGTCAAATTAGACATCCGAAAGGCGTTCGACTCCGTCTGGCAGGAGTCTATGGGGATGCTAGTTGCCACACGCGTGGGCAAGCTCATGCAGAATGGGGGGATTGCTATGGGGGGGGCAACCCTGGGAAGCCAGGGCATGGCTCAGCCTACTTGAAGCTCGTGAACTACGAGTCGCCATCGGAGACATCCTTACATGCATCCCACAAAGCAATGGGGTCCGACAGGGATCACCAGATTGTCCAGTGCTCTTCGCAGCCCTCCAAACAGCCCTTGACGAGGTCCTCGGCCGCACTGCACAGCACCTCCCCACCAGGGCGGGGCCCAAGGCAGGGGGGGCCTTCATGGATGATACATATCTATGGAGTCATAATCGTGACCACTTGCAGCGCACACTCGCTGAGCTTGAAGTCAGGCTCGCCAAAGATGGCCTAGCCATCCACCCGGGCAAGACTGCCATACTATACTGAGGGAGCGGGTGAATTCCAGCTAGGGGGGGAAAGGGTGGCGTGCCAACCCTTTGGCACTGAGATCACGGCGCCCGGCTCTCCACTGACGTTTGTGGAGCCTGTGGCGGCCATCATCACGGCCATGAACCACCGGGCGCGCAAGGCCTTCAGCAAACACAGCAAAATGCTTTGTGCGCCGACTCCCATCAAGGCGCGCACTGTGGGCCAGCCAATCCTGGCCCATTGTGGAAACACTCCACAAAGCAGTCAACAGCACCAGCTACGCCCCATACGCACCATGATGGGGGACCGCCGGCAGCCGGGGGAGACATGGGTAGAGTGGAATACCCGCAGCCTTCGACGAGCCAGGGTCCAGCTCCACCAATCGGGGGAGCCCCGCTGGAGCACCTTCCTGCTGGCGCAAACGCGGGGGCTCTGTGGACACATGGCGCGCTCTACGCAAGGGGGGCTTCAGTGGAAGAATCTCAAATGGTGGAGGCAACAGCAACAAATCCCCCAGACATGGGGAGGGATAAGGCACGGCCACCGCTTCAACTCGGACACCGACCCCGAAAGACAGATTGTGGCAGTGGGGGGGGCTCGATTGGATGCAAGTAGCTCAAAACAGAAACCTGGCAAGACCTCACACACACTTTCGTTGAGCAATTCGACGTACCATGGGCCACCGGCAAAAGCAGGGGAGCATTGGCAACATTGCACCAATCCGAGGCGGAAACAAACGTCCAGCCCACCAGTGAAGCGCAAGCTGAGAGCACGGGGGGGACACCTAGCACTGCCCGTGGCCCATGACGGGGACGCCACCTGACCGGGCCCAGTCACCCGCCATCCACATCCACCAACCAAGTCTCCGCACAGCACGCTGCACCACGGCACTTCTCCAGCAGACACACCACACCACGAACACTGAGCGGTAAGGACAAAAACAGAAAGACACAGAGTGCAGTCAGCTGTTCCAGCCACACTTTTGAGCCCAGCCCTGTTTACAAGCATGCAGTCACACTGCAGCGGGAGATGCCGCCAGCTGCTTTCGCTCGAGTGCCCCAAGGCACTGCCTAGCAGCCACGACCGGCCATCATGGCCCCAATTCGATATGTGGTGGCCCTCCTGGGCTGTGGAGCGCACAGAGCTCCAAACGACACCGAGCCCACCACAAGGGCGCACTATCCGCTTGGGGGAAGAGCCACCGCTGCACCACGGGACAGCCACAGCGGAGGTGGCTGTGGGGCCGGACGAGCCCATGACGGACAACAACCCCACGGCAGCCATGGAGGAGCCACAACCACCAAGAGTGTGGAGCACCGCGACGGGCACGACAGGAGCAGCCAATCCGCAGCCACAGCCACCGCAGCCAATACAACCGCAGCAGCAGGAGGAAGGGGGGCAGAGGCGTGGATTACAGCGCAACCACAAGCAACCCAGCCTCCCAACCAACATGCAGGAGGCAACGCCGCGCTGACAGCCACGACAGCAGCAGAAGCTCCAATGACGCCAACCGCAACGGGACCGACCCAGCTGGGAGCGCACACCACGCCACCACAGCCACAGCCAGCAAGACCCGAAACATCGGGGGGCACCACCTATACTACACCGCAGCCCAGCGAGCTGCCCAACGGTTCGGTTACTACGCCCCCCCATATGACCCTGACACTGATCCATGGGACCAACCAGAGGAGGAAGCAGCGCCACCGCCACAACAACAACAGGACAGCCAGCAACAGCAGACGCACCAGGAGGCCGTGCATTACCGGCACAAGCACAACCCCAGCACAGACTGGGAGCGGCCCCAACGCAGCCCATACCAATACAACAGCAGCCGCCGCAGCACTACACGGTACCACCTGCAGCACAGTGCTCCCACATCTGGCAGTCCACCTCCACTACCAAGCCATCCTGCAGGCAGCAGGCATCCCCCTACCGCAAGCATGTGGACACCACTACCACACGCCTGGCATGGTGCACCCCTCAATGCACCCTGCCGCCCACACAAACCAATACAGCTACACCCTGCAGCAACACGCAAGCGTCGCCACCAACACAAGTGCAGCACTGCCCCCAACCGACAGCTCAGGCCAGCAGCTCGCCAGCACAGCAGCCACCCAGCAACCCAGTCCGACCCAGCCAAGCACCCGAGCTTCGGGGAGGACAGGTGAGCCAGCAGCACAACGGGGCCAACAGCTGGAAAGCTCCGACACAGAAACATCAGCCTCAGCAGCAGCCGGCAGCGACAGCCCTCAGACGACCCACACGGACCCATGGACAAGCATCAGCTCACCACGACTGAGCCAGTGCAGCGACGACACCGACCAAAAACAACCGCACAAGACGCAACCGCCTGTCACACAACGGGAGCAGCCCAGCGTGGCGCCACCATGCCAGCCACAGCCAGCGCCACAAGAGCTACCGAGCTCCAGCATGAGCAAACCGCGCTGGCAAAGAGCTCGCAACCGAGCGGCTGCGGGCCCACAGACAGACCAAGGTCCAGAGCGACCAACAGCAGCGCCGGCTACCACAGAGGAGGCGGGGGGAGCCGAGCCACCACCACCGCAACAGCAGCCAACACAAGCAGACGCCCAGCACGTGCAGACCGAGCCGCCACCAGTTCAGCAACAACCACTGCAGGCAGACCCCCCACACATGCAGACAGACACGGCCCCATGCGCAGCAGAGCACAACGAGGAAGAAGATTGGGGGGATCAAGCACACAGTGCGGGTAGAAGCCACAGCTACAGCCGAAAGCACGAAGGGGGGGCGAGCACAGAATGCGGGGGAAGAGATTTAAAGCCGCAGTGCAGACAATCTTTGAGATCAAAGGCATGAGCAAGCCCAGCAGCAAAACGTGGAAGCAGGTTGCCTTGTGGGTACAACTCACAGAGGACTCAGACGAGAAGGAGTGGGAACGTGCAATCCACACAGCCAGACAGCAAGCAACCCAACAACAAGCTGCCAAGGGGGGGAAACACAGCCGTGTCATACACGATCCGGAGCAGCACGCAAAAGACATGGCAAGATTTTCCCAGCTTCTCAATAAGCACCTGGAGCCGCGCACAACAGGGGGGGCAAGCAGCTCAACTGACGTACCACCACCGTGACAACAACCTCCGCAACCACAACCACCGCAACAGCAACCGCAGCCAGCACAACCGCAACCACAGCCACAAACACCCCACCAACCAGTCACCGCAGCAGGGGGGACGCAGAGACCACGCAGCAGCCAGCCGCCGCAAGACCCCCGCAGGAGAAGAAATAGCGGGGGGTCAACGACAGCAGCCGTAGGTGACGCCAAGCGCGTGAATGGCGAGTTTAACCTCTGGCTGCTCAGCTTAGGGCAAGGACGAGTCCCTAGGACGATGCCACCTGAACTCCCCATTGCGCCCGATGCCTTTCTGCACACGTGTGCGCTGAGCAACGGTGGAGCCTGGGCGGCAGTCATTATGGACAGACGCGATGCGCGCGGCCCGGCCTATTTCAGCGGGCAGGATCGCCCATATGCCATCGCACGTCAAGAGAGACGTGAGGGGGCCCCCGGCCATACGGGGTACCTGGCGACGGGCATGGCCATGCTCTTGCTGCCGCTCGGTCCGCCAGCAGGGGTAGCCCCCGCCAGATGGATGCTCTTTGTGACAGCAGTGGAGACAAATCGCGATCCTGCAGCCTGACAGCTGCGCGTGGGGGACGCCTACATCCTGACCATGCCCAAGCGGACGAAGCGCTGGACACACAAGCATGTTGTCCCTCCGGCGGCTCTGGACCGCTGGCAAGAGCTGGGGGACAGACTCATGCCTCAAAGACACGACCTCGCCCCGAGCCCCCCCCCGGCCACGATTCCACCTGGATGCCTGGCAATAGCAATGGTCAGGCGATGCTTACGGCGCTTGGCAGCGGTCCTAGCTACCACACCTTTAGCAGTCCGTTGAGGACCTCATGCTGACCCTCACAGCCTGCAGGGAGCGGGGAATCCACTCTCGGGGAAGCCAAACGCAGAAAGGTGTCCAATGAGTTCATGGAAGTGGAGGAGCAACTCCGAAGGTTGGCAAGGAGATTGCCCAGCGCCCTCAACGACGACGACCTGGTCGACGATAGCCACCCTGGCCCAGGGACTTGCTGCCACCATGGACCAAGCAGGCCTTCAAGTCACGGAAGCAGTTGTGAGGGGACCCACACCGCTCTGAAGGCCATGACGGCAGCGAGAGACCGTGCGCTCAAGGGGGACAGAGGCTGGATGAGCGAGGGGTGGCTCCTGACGGTCGCAAGCCTTCTTCAAGAAGCTGGGGGACTTGCAATGGAGCTCCTCTACGTGCCAGCCCCAGTACGCCCAAGCAATGTGGTCGAGTCGAGCTCGACAATGGGGGCGAAGAAGCAATGGGGGACATGCCGCCACTCCGGCGGATCAAATGCTGCCTGCGAGAGTTGGGGGGGCTGCTGCCGTTCCTCACGACCAACGAGGGCGAGCCCACCAGACCCAACTGCTACAATGGGTTCAGCAGCAAGAACAGAGTGCCCGGTACGTGGACAGCCAGGGGAACCTGGAAACCCAAGATACCGCTCGCCATGAAGACAGCATCTTCCGGGAGTCGCCACACCCTGAGGCTCAGCAAGTCCAAGAGGACCCTGGCGATGTGGTCCAAGCAGCCCAGACGCTCGAGCAGGAGAACACACAAGACTATGATGGGGCGAACTGCCCCGGAAGACGAGGGAACAGCCATGGACGTGGCAGAGGACAATCTGGACAGTGGGGGAGCAGCGTCGCAACCGCCAGTGGGGGAGATGGACAGCCAAGAACATGTGGCTACCGCCCCGGCCTTCTGGCACCTCCGAGCTGCCATGAGCGAAGTTGATGTCCCCTCTTCGGCTGAGCGCAATGCCACTACTGACGGGGAGCCGACACATAGCAGTGGACCGTCCGCAAGTGAAATAGCGGAGGCCCATTTTTTGCAAGAGCAAGTCGAGGCCGAGCTAGCCGAATACGGCCGAGGCTCCCGAAGGAGACTGCTGAGCCCCATTGGGAGCCGACGTCGTGTGCCAGCTAGTTACCGTACTGATGATTCGGATTAATTAACTCGCTCCCGAGGGGCCAGCAGCCAAGACAAAGCACCATGAACCGAACCTGTGATGTTATCTACGACTTTGGGGGTGCAGCTGTAGTTTGTGCCAGCTGTTTGTTCGCACTCGTACCAAGCCGGTGCTGCCAGGGCCTCAGTGTATGGAGTAGCCAGCTCTCTGTGCGTTTGCTGCCCTTCCGAACAGTCGCACACACACACACACATGTGATAGTAGCCAGCACATGTCGCTGTTGCTTTACTGGTGGGGGACAAGTGTTTGCAATGAAGTGAAGTGTGGGAAGCCCCAATACGGGGCAGCGACAGTCGGGAGCTGAGCTTGAGATGGGGGATCAACACATACTGTAGGGGGGTGTGCCCCTCAGCCTTCGAGGCGGGTTGGGGTTTAGTGTTACGGGGATTGTGGTGGGGGAGCCTGTGAGTTGATCCACAAACAGTCTGGGAAGCTTTGTTTTGCCTGTACCTGTCCCAGTGCGCGGAAACGCGCGAGGGGCAGCATGGACCGCGCATGTTGCCTCTCTGACTGTGCTGAAGAAGAGAGAGAGAGAGAGAGAGAGAGAGAGAGAGAGAGAGAGAGAGAGAGAGACAGAGACAGAGAGAGAGAGAGAGAGAGCGCGAGAGAGAGAGCGCGAGAGAGAGAGCGAGAGAGAGAGAGAGAGTGCGAAGGGGGAGTCACTGAGTGGGAAGCACGTACCGGCAGATGTGCACGCCCTGGAAGCTTGGCAACAAGTTAGCACTTTTCGGAGGGAGCCACGCTGTCCATGAAAGTACTCAGACCGGGGAGACAGCGACCGCACCGACAACGACGGAACATCACCTGGACAACAGCCGGGAGCTCGAGAAGCCCATCGACTTCCCCACCCAGCTTCGCGACAACACCGTGGGGGAGACGGACGGGAACACGGAGGACCCGCCGTGCGAGAACTGCTCGCAACCTGCGGGGGGAGGGGGGTCTCACAGCCGAACAAATGGGAGCCCTCATGACGACCCCGAAGGGGGAAAAGAGACAAGCCCGTGAACTGCGGGTGTGCGCTTCGCACGAGGGAAGGGACCAGGACGCTGTCCGGACCCTCCAGCCCGGTAGAGAGAGAGAGAAAGAAAGAACGAACTAAAGACAGAAAGGAGAGAGCAAGCATAGGGTCGTGATCCTGCAATGCTTTGCAGACAGCGTTTCTCCGAACGCCATAGACCGTAGGCCATTATAACATGAGGGTAGCTGCCTGGAGCGGGCGCATCAACAGATCACATCTGTAATAACCCAACAGCCTTTGCCTGCGAGTTCTGCGAGCAACATCATACTTCAGAGTTCTACACCTTGATATCACGGACCATGCTGCTGCATCGCAAAACTTGCCATCACAGAATGAACCGACAAGATTTCCGTCACGGATACACTCCGCCCAGGTTGGTGCCGAGGCCAGTTAACAGTCGACATAGAAAGTAATTAGTGCTGCCGAAAATTCAGCGCGAGGGGTATGTCCTCTCGCGCTCAACGTGCTAGCTGCTTTCGCCGTTTAGCTTTGCTTGACTTTGCTCCTGACCTGTTTCGACGCCGTGGAAGGTGTGACCCCAGGGCGTGCGGAAAAGTGTTTAGTACCACAAAGTATTTGAGACTTTTTTCGGTTTTGAAAAGCATGCTCACACCTTTGCAACCCGCCGGGCAAAAAAAAAAGGAATGTCATTACATGACAAAAATTATTGGCACGTCAACAAAAAAGCATAAGATGGCAGAAACTCTGTTGAGACCAGGATTAGGAAAAAAAGGTATGACACAAACTGCACCCACAGCAAAAAGCGCTATCTCTAGTTTGAAAACTGAAACGTCGAGTGCCGGAAATTGAAACTTGGGGTTTCTTTCGGTTGTGGATTGGGCAGCTATTGACAGCTGCCCATGGCCGTTGATCAGCCTGAAATGTGCAGGGTTTGTGGCTTCAGGTCTAGGGTTTATAGGATTCATTTAGACTTGATCTCCTGCTGTGTTCTGATTTTCAGGATTGGGACTGTGAATGACGCCCGGCTAAACTCCCTAAACCCTACATAGGTAGTCGCAAGCCTCGGCAGGGGCATCCGCCGCCATCAAGCAGCTTGAAAGCCAAAACCCTGAAGAAACACCTATACACTCGATCCAAGCTCTCCATTTTGCATACAGCATCATCGTCGTCAGATCTTCTTTCGAGGAGGAATTCAGAGGTGCCTCTTTCAAGCTACATCAACAATTCAGGATTGCTTAGTTGCCAAATTAAGGACTTAGTAAGTAGGTTATATATGTACATGAGTCTTATATCGTATAGAAGTACCCTAAGTAAGGGAGTTACCCCCCCAATTATAACACTGCTTACATAAGCGAGTTATTAAGTCCCGTGGGCCTCAAATTAGGGTTCCTCAATTAAAAAAGTTTAAGTTCTATAGTTCTATATTTATACATGCAACCCTAAACGCCGAACCGCAAGCCCTCTCAATCCGAAATCCTGAACTGACTATACTTGCACCCTTGCAGCGATCTCCCATGCGGCTTGCAACAGTGGCACCACTGCTGCCGCAAAGCTTCGCTCCTCGACCGCACTTGCCCTGTAAAGCGAGGGATGCAGGGTTTCAGCTTGGCAGTGAAGTAAATTTTCTCATTTTGGGGAAGCATTAAATTGAGGGGACCCAATCGTAATTCAGAAAGTCCCAACCTGAAACACAAGCTTGTTTAGGGTTCAGGGTTCGGGGCTTAAGGTTCTCATCGATTACGGTATATAAGATAGGTCGAGGGTCTGCCAAAAGCCGAAGCTACCACGACATCCTTGCATGGGAAGCTAGCTCACATGCCTGTATCAGCTATTTTACCGGATCGGGCCTTGTCGATGAACTTACATATACAGCAATGATGTTACAAGTTTGTGTTTCTGAGATTTCAAGATGCAAGCATGAAGCTACACCCCAGCTCGTCGAAAAAGGAGCTGTACAGATACTAAGTACCTGTCGATCACCCGTTGGCCACATACTTTCGGACTCACCCGTCGGGACAACCGGGACAACCTGCCTACGAAATCCTCGTTCGATTCACAGTTGAAGATTGCATGGTTGAGCGCAAAAGGGTGGTCTTCGGCTTGCAGGCCCAGCTCCCACAAAGTGTGGTGGAAATAATGACATTTCGGTCGCATACTAAACAAGCGATACCCATGATTTATGGCGTAATCAGCTAGCCAATGGTAGCCTCTCAGAAATTTGTGGCCAGCACGATGCATGAAGCGGGCGCAAGACTGGCTGAGGAAAAGTGGGTGCGAGTGCATCGCACCCAAAAAGTCAAGGCAGCCACGAACTGTCTGGTGCATGGCCTGAAGCAAAACTTGATGGCTTGGGTGGCACAATGACTGTTGACGCTGAAGCAGCAAGAAATCCAAAAACATCATGATCAACACTGTATCCGAGCCCTTGCCACCGGTCCACGGCGATTGCCGAGGCTTCTTACGATGTAGACCGCTAGGCGTGAATCGCTTGATTGTGGAACACTTGCCTTCGGCTAGGCACCACATGCTGAAAAACCCAGGGACCCATGCGCCCTGTCCAAGCGACTGTCGATCGACTTGGACTCCGCCTGATCGAAGTCGAAACACCCCAGCCAGCTCAGCAAGAACAGGATGCTGCCGCAAAGGTCTCGGGCGAAACCATATTTGATCATGTGGAAACAGTCTCGTTTGTACAGGCTTGCTTTTCGACTTCTTGCATAAGGGGCCAGGTTCAAAGGAGGCTCTGAACTCCATGGATCATCTTTGTACATGGAATCAACCCATTTCGGCCGATCTGACATATCTGTTGCTGGGAAGTCTTTATGACCGGCCCAGCATTCTGGGCACATCAGGAGGTTGTTAACCCGGCCTTCGTTGAGATACGTTCGGTCAAAGTACCCAGCATCCAGGTGAAGAAACTCGAAGTCTCCTTTGCATCCAATGAAGGCTGCTCTATAGGTGATCCCATCTCGATCTTTGATGCCGTCAAGAAACAAAGACTGCAGGTTTTGAGCCACTTCCGCAAGCAGAGTGGGCACAATGGCATCATTCTGCGACAACACCTTCTTTGGTATAACTGCCACCAAGTACCGAGAAAACAAAGAGTTTCCCTTGCCGTTGTGCCCCATCGCTTCAAGCAAAGGAGTCTCAGCAGAGCCAACAGTGCAGTGCCCTTCGGGGACTGCAGGCTCTGGGCAGTGCTTTCCGCAATCAGCCGCCCTTTGGGAGCACGTCCAAGTCAGTCGGCCGGCATAGACTTTCTTTTTTTGATCAACGACCTCACGTTTTGACTTGGATCCAGCTCGCCGAAACTTTTCTGGAAGAGCAAAAACGGTCTCCCAATCAAAGACAAACACAGGTGACTTCTGGTAGCCGCGGCCCTTATCCCCATGAAAGCAAATTGGTAGTATTCTTCGGCGGTCCTCCCGCGAGTACTGCTCATACACCATATGATCAGGGTGGTAGTACTGAAATCGCTGCCAGAACGTGTCACACAGGGTTTCTGCTTCTTGCCCTTTGGGCAGGCCACCGAACAGAAGTCGAGCATGCTGGTTCAAGAGTACTCGGAAGAAGTCAGTCAGTTTGAGGAAAGGGATATCTACAGGGCTTGAATCTCCGTCCTCAGCATCCACACGCATCGTTGAGGTAGGGATGTTTAGTCTGAGTCCGTGCCTCCTAAACAGGCGTTGGCTGTCCCTTTCCCCGTGAGTCTCATGTACTCTTGCTGCTTGCATTACCGAGGACTGCCCTTTGCAGCTTGGCTGGAACGCTCTGGCCATCCGGCCGACATCACACGCAGGAGCCTGGGCATGGATGGGGTGTGGCTATGTATAGGGTTTTGTCACAGCCTTTAGATACGTCTATATACAGTGTGTTGTGATTTCGGGTAATAGACCTTAAGCTAGTGGGGTTTTATGGGTTTTAGACGGATCCTGGTATCCCTCGATCGAAGCTTCTGGCCTACTTTGGGCACCTTCAGGCTGAAATCTAAGAAATTTGTGCGGCAGTGGTTTGGGCACCTGCTTGGTCAAAACTATACTTGGTGCGTTAGTTAATCTGGGCCCGGGGCTTGGGCACCATTAGTTTAAGAATCATTGTAGGGTTTA